ACCACCCACCACCCTCACCTACCCACCAGCACCACCCACCCACCACCACCCACCACCACCAGCTAACCACCACCCACCGTCACCACTTTCCACCACCGTCTTCCGCCGCCACTTGCCACTACTTGCCATTTCTCACTCCTTTTTATATTTTTAAAATTTTTTAAACATTTTGTCAATTACCAAACGCGTTTGTAGTTTATGTTTTTCTAAAAATAAACAAAAACCAATTTATAAAATTTTTGTAAATATAAACTGAAAACGTAAACGTTACCAAACACACCCCTAGCAATTCGTTTTCTGTTTCTAGCATTACTCATCTCAAATCAAAGCATTGGATTCTTCTTCTAGTGTTGGAATCTATATCTCCTCAAGCTCAATCACAAAATTCTGATAGTTACTCTCTTAATCATATTTGTTTTTCTTTCTTTCTTAATATGGTGATTGTAATGTTTTTTTTAATAAATTTTATTATAATCAATAAACTATTCTGTTTTTGCCAATAAAAAATTCGATTATATAGAATAGGTTAAATAAAAAAGGTGTAAAAATGATATTAACAAAAAAAAAATTGAAAAATAAAAAAATAATAATAATAAATTTGAGGTAATGTAAAAATATACCAAATTAGGTACTAATTAATCAACTTCCATTAATGAAATAACTTTTTCAAAATTTAAAGAGAATAAAATGACAAAATTACAATTTTCCTGTTCATAAGGGCAAAAATGACAATTACACAGCAAAAAACTATTTTATAGCTTATTTACCAAATACAACTCTGCTGCTTAAATCTATAATCCTACAGTTACAACAAACAGGTTACCAGCTTATAATTACAGCTATAAGCTATAATTTGTTTAGCTATAATCTATAATCACTTTCCCGCAGCTCTACCAAACGGGCCCTTTGGGTCTGTTTGATAAAACTTATAAGCTGCTTATTTTAACTTTTGACTTAATTTAAACTATAATGTTGTGTTTGGTACAACTTAAACTATCAAATTATAGTTTTAAAAAAACTGTTTTCAGCTCAAATGGAGAAGTTGCTCAGGGGATGCTTACAAATTATAACTTAAGCACGTAGCTGATTGGAGGGTCATAAAATGACTAAAATGCCCCTCCAAAACTTCAACAATTACGGTTATGCCACTATATAAGCCCTTTTTCGTTCTCCTAGCCAGCTCCTCTCCTCACACTCCTTTTCTCATTTCCTTGGCGACTGAAGATGATCCTCCACATCTCTCCAAGATCAACCGATCGAAGTCGAAGATTTCTCCAAGATTTCTCCAAGATCTGCACCAAAAAGGTAAGAGTTCATGCCTTTTGTTTGTGATATATATACACACACACACACATCGAGTTAGGGTTTAAACAGACCAAAATCAGATCACACTCTCTGTTCCTCTCTCTCTCTCTCTCTCTCTCTCTCTCTCTCTCTCTCTCTTCTTGCTTCGATTCTCCCCTTTGTTATGTGTTTTAATAGTTGGGAAGGATTTATAATGGTGGTTGTTTGGATAATACTAGATTTGTATTGTTAAATCTCAATTTCTGCTCAATTACTTGGGAAGTATATCTTGTTTATCTCCAATTTAATGGATTACTGAGACTGTGGGTTGGGATCAGGGCCATGTTGTTGAAGTTTGAAAAGGCAAGATGTGGCCTGGTAAAATTGTGTTTTTCTATTTTCTATTTGATGGAAACAGCATGGTGACTGAAAGCCCCTTGTCTGTTTAAGCTTTTTCCATTTGCTAGTTCATTGACTTCTTTCTTCTTTGATTTGCTCATCATCCAGCATTTATCTATCTATTGTTTAGTTTGGTTTTCTTTTCTAATTTATCTCATAACTAGATAGCCTCAGAAATTTTAGTAAAGTAGACAAGATAAAAAAAAATTGCTATAAACAGAGGCAATTCTCTCTCTTTCTCTCTCTAGTGAAAACCCCTTTTTCTTTTGTTCTTTTTTCCCATCTGGTAAAGCTTGTAGCCATGCAAAACCTCTTGATCTCCATGACGTACATTCATGTTACATCATACTGCAATCCTCTTTGTATGTCGTCAAATTAAGAATTTTTTATAACAATTGCAACCTTCATTTGCATTACTAGAGTTGGTCAGTTCAAGTTGCAGTAGCGGTAATCAGTAAATAACATAAATATGCTACGTAGTAATATAAGTGCATTAAATGAAATGAAACGGTTCGAAGATTCTCATCATGGTAGTATTAGACAGAAACTATTAATATGTCAAATATCTTGTCTACTTTACTAAATTATCAATTCACACTTTTAAGCTGTGTAACTAGGAGCTGATTTGGTGCTAGATGATTATAATATTCTAATCTTTTTGTCATATTCTAATCTGTTGGTGCCAAATGATTATGACCTCTTTGCTTGTTGAGTTGTTTAGGAGAGTGACAATGTAGGTATTGGCTCACTGCGTGTGCAAACCTGGAATCAATAGTAATTGGTTATGTAGTGGTTATTTGTTGTTGGGCTTTGTAATCACCACCAATCAAACTATGAGAGTTGGTCATGCTCAAGGTCATTGCTTGAAAAGAAAATAGGAAAATAAGTTGAACGGTACATGTGATGTCTTGGTCATGTGATCCTGTATGCTGTACCCTTTTTTTTCTCAAAACTCAAGTTCCCCTTAATTTTGTTGGTATAAACAAATGTTTACATATCTTTTCATGAAAAATTTAGGACCAAAGTGCACAATAGTGTTAGTCATGTATAACATCTTTAAGTTCCCAATCAATTTTAGAGGATTTGGATTTTTTAACATCTTTAGTCATGTATAACATCTTTGTAATCACCACCAATCAAACTTGCGACGTATCTAATAATCTTATTCTGGATTCTGAAATGAAAGATGCTTATGTCCTTGATGATGGAACTGGTGGTTCATCAAGTGAGAAGGCCGTTGTTCCATCTTCTGATGTTACCTCTGAAAACCCGAATCTTGATACCATTACATTGGAGGATGCTGGGGATGCTGATATTGGAAAGATCCCTGGGGAAACTCATGAATTGAGACCACTTCTGCAGATGCTTGCAGGATCACCTGCTTCCGAGTTTGACTTAAGTGGCAACATTTCTAAAATTCATGATGAGCAAAGGGAAAACAGAGAACTTCTCAAGGATCTTGATTCTCCAATGTTAGCATTGACGATGTGCCAAGCGTTTAAAGATGGGTTACAAGAAGGAATTTTCAGTGCCAACAACATTGAAGTTTCATTTGAAAACTTCCCATATTATTTAAGGTGCAAACCTTTGACCTCAAAGATAGGCTATTGACAATTATTGTATTTCTTGTAATCTTTTTTTTTTTTTTTTTTTTTTTTTTTTTTTTTTTGAATTGGTATCATTTTGGACGTGTAGAAAATATGTATGCTTGTTGATTATGTATAATTTATAAATGTTAATTGAGGTGCATAGCCTTCTGCTTACATTTTTGTTTGTTTCTATTCTCAGACTATTTTACATGTTCCTTTAAACTAATGCTTTTCAGTTCGCATTGTGTCTTCATATTTTTGTAGTTGGTAATCAAAATGTGAGAAGCACCGCTTTCATGAGCAAACTTAAATATGACATTGTAATTAATGGAAACTATAAATTTGCTTTTCTATTTTATTATTGTTGTCCTTATAGCTGTTAGTTACTTTGGTTTTGAAAGTCTAGCAATTCGTTTTCTGTTTCTAGCATTACTCATCTCAAATCAAAGCATTGGATTTTCTTGTCCAATATATCAGTAGCATACAAGCATTACTCATCTCAAATCAAAGCATTGGATTCTTCTTCTAGTGTTGGAATCTGTATCTCTTCAAGCTCAATCACAAAATTCTGATAGCTGCTCTCTTAATCATATTTGTTTTCTTTCTTTCTTAATATGGTGATTGTAATTTTTTTTAATAAATTTTATTATAATCAACAAACTATTCTGTTTTTGCCAATAAAAAATTCGATTATATAGAATAGGTTAAATAAAAAAGGTGTAAAAATGATATTAACAAAAAAAAATAATAATGAAATAATAAATTTGAGGTAATGTAAAAATGTATCAAATTAGGTACTAATTAATCAACTTCTATTAATGAAATAACTTTTTCAAAATTTAAAGAGAAGAAAATGACAAAATTACAATTTTCCTATTCATAAGGGCAAAAATGATAATTACACAGCAAAAAGTTATTTTACAGTTTATTTATCAAATACAACCCTGCTGTTTAAATCTATAATCTTACAGTTACACCAAATAGACTACCAACTTATACTTACAGCTATAAATTATAATCTGTTAAGTTATAATTTATAATCATTTTTTTATAATTTTACCAAACGGATCCTTTAGACAGCGAGAGGTGAGAGAGGAGAGAGGAAAGAGCGAGGGACAGAAGAGAGAGAAAAGGAGAATAAAGAGACGGGAGAATAAATGCAAGGAAAGGCGCGTGAGTGGGAATAAATTCCCATGTCTTTGATAATTAATTTTCAATGTCCCACTCACATTGAAATTTTAGATTTTTTAGCCACTGGCCAATAAATAAGACCCTCTGCTTCAACTGGGTATAAAAGTAATAGAAGAGACACCAAATTTTATATTAAATAAATGATTAAATGTCTTATATGAGTGTGTGGTCTGTAATTTTGTAGACTCTGTACCATAAGATATTTGATCATTTATTTAAGGAATTTTTATTGATAAGTCCAATTTAGAAGTGTTTTAACCCAAGAAGTCCATGAAGGAATTTTTTAACCCATTTAGTCCCATGTATGTATAGTTTTATTCCATAAAATCCATTTTATTGATTTACACTATTTTCTTGGACACTTATGCCCTTATATTTAATTTTGATACCCTTATAAATATTTTTTTAACGATTAGCAATTTAATGATATGAACATTCTTATTTTAAAATTCACATTTGTAGGAATGTAAATTGGGCCCGTTTAGACAGCGAGAGGTGAGAGAGGAGAGAGGAAAGAGCGAGGGACAGAAGAGAGAGAAAAGGAGAATAAAGAGACGGGAGAATAAATGCAAGGAAAGGCGCGTGAGTGGGAATAAATTCCCATGTCTTTGATAATTAATTTTCAATGTCCCACTCACATTGAAATTTTAGATTTTTTAGCCACTGGCCAATAAATAAGACCCTCTGCTTCAACTGGGTATAAAAGTAATAGAAGAGACGCCAAATTTTATATTAAATAAATGATTAAATATCTTATATAAGTGTGTGGTCTGTAATTTTGTAGACTCTATACCATAAGATATTTGATCATTTATTTAATATAAAATTTAGAACCTAAAATATTTTTCAAGTTTAAAAGTTAAAAATTTAAAATCATTGTCAAAAAAAAAATTAGTTGTTACTTTTTTTTTTTTAACATTGGCTTTAAATTTTTAATTTTAATTTTTGGAAAAATTACAAATAAAATTTTAGAGTTTGACCTCTGTAACAAATTAATCTTTAATTTTATTTTATCAATAAATTTTTATTATTTTGATTTATTTTCAATCTAAATTATTTATTTATTTTCGTTAAGTAAAACTGATGAAAAAAAATTTTAATCATTAAATTCAATTCAATGTAAATATACTTGAAATGTCTAAATTATCCTTTTTTTGTTAAATTTAACAACAAAAATAAAATATTTTTTGTCACTTTTACTTGATAAAAATAGAAAATTATTTAGATTAACAACAAATCAAAATATTAAAATTTAAATTAAAAAATTAAAAATTTTGGATTTATTTTGTTATAAAAATCAAACCCTAAGTTTTTTTTTTTTTTTTTTTTAAAAAAATTCCCCCTTCCCACCTTTTTGGTGCTTTGTTATATGTTTTTTTTTAATTAACTACTCAAACTAAAAAAAATGTATATCTAGATTTCTTAATTATAAAATTATTTTAGGATATTTATACCATGTTTTATAATTGATTGGTCTAAATATAAGATTTTAAAAGTAAGGATGATAAATTGATGTTTTAGTAATAAATAATGTTATATGCATCAATTAATGTATTAACTAGTATATTAACAGATGATATGCCATAATGTTAGAGGTTTTGAGTATTTGTAATTTGTATAATAGGTGGGGTTAGTAATAATGATGTAACACTAATTAGTACACTAGTGTGTGCATTAAAAAAATATTAGGGATACTAACAATCTTACTAATACACTAACAAGATGTGGGTCGACCCTAGCATATCAAGTGATGGTTTATCTTATCAAAACTTGTAAGTGAGTTTAGTAAGATTGTTAGTATCCCTAACATTGTTGGTATATATTAATTGATACATATAATATCACCGTTTAGTAATAGTTGAGAGGATGTTGTGTAATTAACCGTCAAGTTTTTAATTAGTCTAAAACTCCTAAGAGCAAGAAAATGAATATATGTGAAAAAGTTTGGAAAATACAAAAATAGGCTTTTAAGAACCTTCCAATTGAAATTTACTTTTTAGCAATATTTATAATAGACACTAAGATCCATAACAAGATACAATACACCAAAAGAATCTAGAGCTGATTCCGCCAAGGACTTGCAACAAATTGTTTTATCCATTTTGGAGGTTTGTTTTTCTCATTTAGGGTTGTTTGGGAGGTGAGAATATAATATCGTCAAAAATATATATAAAAGTGGATTGAATAATTAACAAGTGGGGTATATGGACTATGTGTTTGTGAGGAATTGTGTAAAAAACAAAGGAGAGGCATGAAAAGTTTTTTTTATTATGACAATTTTGTACAAACATGCAAATTGCAATGAATGTGTTCTTCCAAAAAAAAAATGAATTACAATATAAAATATGAGAAAAGTTATGGATTATGAAAATTTTTTCATGAAAATAATCATGAAAGATTTATGATCTTTGGATTACCTTGATTAGTGTGTGGTGCTTTATTCTAAGCGTAATCAAAGAGTCACAAAACTTTCATGATTATTTTCATGAAAGATTTTTCATGATACCTATCATTGCTGATAAAATATTTGTGACAGAGATAGATACAAATTTATGCAAAAGAAAAAGGATAATCAATTAGGGCATATTATATACAAGTATAATTATTGGGTGATTTCTTAATAAATTATCTTTCTGAGTGTTTTATTCCCTTTAATTCACATTTTTTTTGAGTATTCCATTAAGTCCTGTTTAATGCAATATGACCAAATCATCATTTCTAATTTTTTGGCACATGTTTCTATTTTAAAACTAATACATAACAATAGTCCCTCATTTTATGGAGAAAATTTCTCTCTCATTTTAAAGAGAAAATCTTTCCCTTATTCCATGGAGAAAATCTCTCCCTTATTCTAAGGAGAAAATCTCTCCCGCATTCCATGGAGAAAATCTCAAATTATGAATTTTGAACCTTTTATAATTTGAAAATTTTAAAAATAATCCAACAAAAAATCTGAATGAAAATCAAAATACAATGTGAATGTTCACAGTAAATAACAAACATACAATTAACTTTTGAAAAAACAAAGCACATACTAAAGTACAATATATTCGTACAATAAAATACAAACATACAACTAACCTTCGAAAAAATAAAATTCATACCAAAATAGTATGTGAATGTTCACAATTTATAATTAACATACAACTAGCCTTAAAAAAATAATTCATACCAATATAAACATTTACATTGCAACGTGAAAACATAAAACAAAATTGAGAAAAGGGAAAATCAACTATTTCAATTGTTCAATGGTAACAAAAATTATTGTTCAACTAACAAGCATAGTAACAAAAATAACAAATATACAATTAACTTTCAAAAAAACAAAACTTATACTAAAATATAATGTGAATGTTCACAATTTACAATTAATATACAACTAATTTAAAAAAAAAAATAAAAAAAATCTCATACCAATGTGAACATTCACTAGGGGTGCAACTTGGGTGGATTCGGTTGAGTTGGGAGGTTGTCCAAGCCCAACTCAAGTTGTGCTGAGACTTGCCCAGGCCCGAATTTTAACCCGAGGTTGTCTGTCTAAGCCCGACCCGAGTTAAACCCAAACTGCCTGAGTTGTAAATGAATTTCAAATTTTTTTTTGGCAGTTACATTTTAAATTATTAAAATTTGACCCTATTTACATTTTTTTTAAGAAAATCATTAATACCATAAAAAAAATAATTTATATAATATAAGAGAGATGCCGCTATAGTAGTCCTTACAATTAATGAGCGAAAATAAAAAAAAAAGTAAGATTTTATGTTATTTGTATATATAATATATATTCAATATGATTTAATAATCTAAATTACTTTAATATCATGTAAT